GTGGATGCCAACTCCTGCCAGGACAGAATAGAACTGCCACATATGGTTTCTAAGGCTGCAAATCCTTATGGAAGTCAACTACCACATCTTTCTAACATGGAGCAATGGGTAGGTTTGAACCACTGACCTTTTGGTTAGCATCCAAGAGCTGAATCATTGTACCCTGAGGGCTCCTAAAGGGGATGATATAGTAATTAAGTGATCATTGGAGGCACCCAGAACAGAAAGCTGTGATGTCACAATGGTTCATTTTCACAAGGGAGGATGGGGAGGCCTGGTTTCATTTTGGAGGGTGCAGTTTTATCATCCAAAAAGTGCTCACAGTTCTTGACAGGAATGGAATACATTAGCACTCAGCTAGTACCTTCCTATGCAAGCATCTTTTTAGTTTGCTTGTACTATCCAGAGAAGAGTCTCACCTCATTAGAGAAAGAAATGTGGCGTTCAGTAGGCGCATGCATGTGGGTACCCTCTGATTCCTATAGTAAAGTGAAAGATATTTGCTAGATCTCAAGTGCCCAATATAGAGCAGGGGCTGGTAATAATGTATTACAAAGCATTTTTGATGAGCTGGGAAGCTAACAGACAGTACAAGATAGAAGAGGGAATAGTAAACATCTGTGTCTTTCCTGGAGATATTTTTAAAGGCAACTAGTTGATAGTGAAAGAAACAAATGGAAAGCCTGAGTGACTGATGTGGCTCATGCTTGATCGACAGAACACTCAGTACTAGCGGATTCCTATAAAGACTGCCAAATGCGAGGAGATGAATGGCGTTTAAGTGATCCGTGCACAGTGGCAGTGGGGATGATCCTACGAGTTAATAGATTGTCCTCTTAATACTGGTTCAAATTTTACCTCTATGTTAAATGCATTATTTGAGTGTTAGAAATGAGAACTAAGTGGCATGGAAAACACTTGTTTTATTTCTTTAGTTAGAAAAAAAAACTTTAGCTCCTTAATTGGTCTTTATCCAGCTGAGATAGCTTTTGCTAGTCTCAGCATTTGAGATACATCGAGGTCCTCACCATCACTCCCTTCTTGAGCCTCATCATGTTTTTCTTCATTACCTTAGCTTATTGCTGGCAAAGGGGTCCTGAAGGCATAGTGATTACGTGTTGGGCTGCGATCCACAAGATCAGCAGTTCTAAACCAACACCCTCTCTGAGGGAGAAAGCTGAGGCTTTCTACTTCCGTGAAGAGATGCGGTCTCAGAAACCCACAGAGGCAGTTCTGCCCTGTCCTATAGGGTAGCCTTGATGGTTGTGAGCTTGTTTTTTTTTCTGTTTCTAACTGTTTCTCTTTTTAAACTTACCCCACCCAGCTCTTCTCTAGGACTGCTTTGGGATACTTTCTGCAGCAGTATTAGTGATATTCTTTAAGGAGTTCCTATTCAAGTTCCAATATGTTCCCCAGCGTCACAGGTCAGAAGGGATAGACACTGAACATTCCATGTTTAAAATAAGAGAATTGACTTCTAGAGATCTGAGGGGACTTGACCGAGGCTTCCACGACTCAATGGTGGATCTAAACCAAATCATGAAACAAAACTTGCTGCTGCTGAATCTAGTTTGCCTCAGAGCAGCCCTAAAGGACAGACTAGAACCGCCCCATAGGTTCCCCAAGGTGTCTACCTCCAAAGCAGCAGCCGGCTACATCTTTCACCCGAGGAGGAGGCGCTGGTGGGTTCTAACTGCTGCCGTTTCCCTGAGCTGCTCAGCGCAATTGCCACAGCACCCCCGGGGCTCCCAGTAGACCGAGGGGGAGGGAAAGAGGGCACCAAACTCTTGTTCCGACCTTAACTGAATCTTTCAAATAATTCAGAGACTCAACATCTTAAAGAACATTTTTGAAATTAATATTGTAGCAGAAGAAACTCCAATTTTACTGACGTGTGGCCAACGCACTTGAAGTTTAATAATAATGGTGCGAACTATGGAGCAGTGTGGTAGGAATGAATGAGTACACTCCCTGATCCTCAATCAAATTTAGGATGGTTCCCATTGCTGTCGATTAAATTCCAACTCATAGTGACAGCTGGCAGGGGAGAGGCACCCTCATGTTCTTGCGCTTCCCAAATCCTGCCTTTGGTTTTTCAACTCGATGCTTTGTGCCAACCTCAGGTCAGGCAAACAAATCTATTGGCACTCTTTACCCAACAGCACAGCACGTGCTCACTTCCGGTTTCTATTTCAAGCTTTGGTAATCTTCACAACTTTGCCATTTTTTCATGATGTTATTCCACATGTAAAAGACTAAATGGTAGTATAAACATAACTTTTCTAAGCAGTGGTTATGTGTCTGGCTGCTTGAAACCACCAGCCAATCCTGGGGAGAAAGATGGGCCCTTTTACATCCATACAGGGCAGTTCTCCACTGCCCTTTAGGTCCCTGAAAGTCAGCATTGACTGGATGGCAGCGAGTTTGGTTTGGTTTGGGAGACCAAACACTGCGCGCGACTCCCTCGGTTGTGAGATTCTGTTTATTGCCGCGGTCTGGAAGCAGACTTGCAGATTCTCTGAGGTGTGCCTGTGGAATTGCTCCCGAGAGTTCCCAAGGCTGTAAACGTGGACCAAAGCAGACCGTCACCCCTTTCTCCTACAGAATGGCTGGTGGGTGCCAACAACTGACCTTGGGGTTAGCAGCTGAGTGCTTTAATCACTAAGCCCCAATAAAAAAACACGTCACTGTCATCCAGTCAACTCTGACCCCTAGGCTTTCCCCAGACTGTCCATCTTTGCAGAAGTTGACAGCCTCTTCTTTCTCCGGCAGTGCAGTTGGTGGGTTTCAACCACCTACTTTGTGGTTAGCCTTCTAGTGTTGACCCAACACCACCACTAGGGCTCCTGGTATGAGAAATCAAAACTCGAAACTCCTTGCCATCTTTTCCAGGCTGACTCATAGTGACCCCGTGCGGGTTCCGAGACTCTAACTGTTTAGCGGAGTAGAAAGCCAAGTTTTTCTCTCGTGGGACTGCTGGTGGTTTAGAACTGCCCACCGTGCAGATTGCAGTCCACACATAACGACTGCACCCCCAGTCTCTTCTATTCTTGAGAGTGAGGCCTGGCCCCAGGTAAAACTGGCACCCTCAACCCCCTTGCTGTGTTTTCCCTGCGCTACTATATCTGGTATCTTTATCTTCTTTTTGCTTTCTTCCCTCTAAAATCTCATTTGTGAAAAAGAACCAAAGATATAGATGCACAACTCCTAAAAAGACCAAACTCAATGCCATCAAAACAAGTCTGACCCATGGCAACCAGGATTCAACTGTCCCCATGGCTTTCCAAGACCCAGGAGCAGAAAGCCTCATCCTTCTCCCATGGAGCGGCTGGTAGTTTCAAACTGCTGACATCTCAGTGCAAAGCCCAACATATAACCACTGTACCACCAGGGCTCCTTATTATTGGAAAGACTCACTACACACTAGACTATGTAATTTTTGAGGCTGATTCCTGCTGATATTCTGATTTCATGATACGCTATGCTATTTTCCATTCAATTATGTAATAAATCAAAGGGATTAAAATCTAATTATAGAATTTCAGGCTTGAGTGATCCAGGTTGAGAGGACAGAAGAGGATGCCTCATATTGTTGAAATTATACTGTTAGTTACAGCTTAAAAAAAATGAACCCAACCCACTTGTCCTCAAATAAATGCTCCATCATGACAACCCAACGTGCGCGGACTATGCCCCTGCTCCCTGAGATTTCCACTTATTGACTGCAGGAGGAGAAGCTTCCCCCAGGGGTCCGTTGCTGAATTTGAATCGCAAACACTTCAGTTCATAGTGAGCACATCCACCTTCTGTTCAACTTGGGGGCTCCGTGATTTGGGTGGCTGCCATTTTTACAATCCTACCAATTTCTGTGCAGGAGAAAGATGCGAGCAGGCTAGATAGGAGAGGGGACTCATGACAGTAGATTTTCTTTATTCACTGCGACCCCCAATGCCACTCACTGGCAAGGGGTTTGGTTTGGTTTCTTTCTATCTAGTGCTATTTCTTTCCCCCAAAATCAAAAAGCATGGCTGGTTAAGCATCTCTCTCTGATATAAGAATATAAAAGAAATGTGGAGGAACTAAAGCCATGGAGAAATAGCAATAGCCATAGCATGGAATATTAGCAATGATACCAAGAGGAACAGGTAATTCGGACTTTACAAATGGGGTCTATAATCTCCTATGTAGAGGTCGTATAATGAAGTAATGGATACTTTTAGAAG